TTTGGGGTTTTCTACCAGTAATGGTAAAAAGCTCTAACTGGTAACACATCAGTTTCAGGTCATGGACGAGGAACACTGTTCTCTCTTTAAACACAGACTTACTTAAAAAACTCAAGTTTACTTTGGGATAATTCAGCAGGTCTTTGAGAAATGCCTTTCTAATAAGACAAAAAACAAATCTATTCCATTTTCAATAAAGTCTGTGAGGAACTGTGTGTAAAAATCCTGGTCAATTTTTGTCTAAGTAGGCTCAAGCTATTCAAAAACAAACAAACCTATTTCTGCTTCCGTTCCACCAAAGACACATTGTCTGTGCATCTTTTTCACACCTCAGCATTTTCCCACCAGTAACTCTGACAATGTCTGCTGTTAACGTCTGGAGATAGCAGCTGCAGCTTGTTCAGGCTGTTAGAAAAACGTAATGAGACTTTGTGGAGTTGTTAACTGTACATGTTCCAAATAAATGAATAAATAAAAAAATAAATACCGGTAAATAAAAAAATAAATAGCGGTAAATAAATAAATAAATAAATCATCAGGTTAATCTCAACAGACAAAACTAAAATGTACATGGATAATGGAAGGAGAAACCACCAATTCATCCCTGCTGACATCACTGAAATCCACAACTCCAGATGTTTATCTCAAAACAGTCTTTTTCTTTCAAGCCTCTTTGCTTGGAAATGTTTTGTATTTTTTCCAAAGAATGGCGGGTGAACGTTGGAATGGCAGCGGAACTTCTAGCGGGGCTACTCTGTACCGAAGAGGATTAGAGCCACTGACAGGAAAAAAAGAAAAGAAAGAGAATTCGTACTTTTTTCTCAGAATTCTGACTTTTAATCTCGTAATTCTGACAGGGAATTCTGGGGAAAAGGTCAGAATTCTGTTTCTTCTCTTCTTTCCTTTTCAGTGGCCCTAATCCTCTTCCATACCTCTGATTTTACAGAGGGAACGACCTTTGTTTAATACAGATGTTCTTTTCGTGAGGAAAATGTAACTGTGTCCAACTCTCCTGAACCTCTTCACATTATCTATCTATCTATCTATCTATCTATCTATCTATCTATCTATCTATCTATCTATCTATCTATCTATCTATCTATCTATCTATCTATCTATCTATCTATCATCCATCAATCTATCAATCTATCAATCTATCTATCTATCTATCTATCTATCTATCTATCTATCTATCTATCATCTATCATCTATCTATCTATCTATCTATCTATCTATCTATCTATCTATCTATCTATCTATCTATCTATCTATCTATCAATCAATCATCAGCAGCAGTAAAGAGTTACGGCTACATGTCACAAATGGAACTTTTAATTATAATTAATGAAAATGTATTAAAATTCCATCTAGGGGTGGGCAATATCATGTCATTCATAATATTACCAGTTATTATTTCCTGCCAAGAAAAAATAATCTATCATGTTAAGCTAACTTCATGATGTAGTTGCATCCACTAAACAGGATTATGTTCATGTGGGTCATCAGCATGAAGTTATTGAAGTTATCAAATTAAACATGGCTGGAATCAGTTTTACTGTAATCTGTGTCTCTAAGTGTGTGTGCTGCTTTAATGAGTGGATGTCCCCACTGTGGGACTAATAACATTTACTCTATTCTATCATATGTAATTCATATCAGCCAGTAGGGAAAAAAACGTATGAGGAATTTTGGCCTTTCCAGGCTTCCGTAGCATGGTTACAGAGGAGGGTTGTCTCACAAACAGGTGAAGTGGTGAATTAAAACATTAGGAATCCTAATGTTTTAATTCACCATGTCACAAACCAATGTAGGAGAGGCAACATGTGAGTGAGTCACCACGGTAGGAAGCCCAGCTTGCTGTGAGCGAGAGTAGCAAGCGATCTGTGGCTGATGAGTGAAAACAAAAGAAAAACATTCGGGACTGAAGCTCCGCCAGCTATCGGCTGGCCACGCGGCTGCATTTCTAAATATAGCATGTCATTTTGGCGGCGCGTGCAGCTGCAGCTCACGGTTCTAGGGGAACCGGGCATGCCCGTCCCATCTACAGCAGGTGGAGCTCACCGCTCCGCCCATCTCAAAACTAGAGCGGAAAAAAACACATCGGCTTGGATTATACAGACGGAATTCTGTGTGTGAATAAATGCCAGTTAAAAGTATTACGTAAGTGTCGTTTGTGTGCTTGTTGTTCAGTAGCTAATGCTAAAGTTAATATAATCAGTTTTTATTTTTCATAAGCCCTACATACTGTGCGTGATGCGCGTTTGGGGAGCGCAGGCGCTGTATCCTCCCTCAGCAAGCTAAACGGCTAACAAACGGAGAACACACGCCTCGGCAGAACATGAACATTGCAACACGTCTTGGCAGTTCCCGAAGATGCATCTCTTAGGCAACCGGGGCGGGGCCAAGACATCAAGGCAAGGTTCTTTGGCATTGCAAAACACCCTTAGACCCACTCCCATGTATTTTAGACCTGATTTTTTTTAGTTCAATTCAATTCAATTCAAAAATACTTAATTAATCCCAGAGGGAAATTGGTTAAAGTTATATGTTATGAAGCCGCCAATATTTTTCAACAACTGGGCATCATTTAATTCATTTTTAGCAACATTTCAATGGATATTTCCAGAGATTAACTGTTAAAACTACACATTGTCTCTAAATGTAGTAGTGTGTTATAAAACAGCTGAGATAGTTTCATTGCGAGCATCTTCTTACTTATGATTCTATGTTATGCAACACATTAAAACAGCTATGTGAAGTAAAGATGACAGAATCCATAAATCAGTATTTAACACTGATGTACTTATGTGCAAATATAATCTTCATAATTATTAATGCAAGTAATCAACCACAATTAAAGTGCAGAAAGTGTTAGATTTAAGAAGTGGAAATGCTGAATGTGTATCTTCTGTTAATTAAAAGCTATCCCTCTAATTACTTCTGTAATTAGAAAACCCTGCATTTTCAAAAAAGGGTGGGGAAAAAACAACCTGTGGCAGTCATTCAGGAAAATGAGCAACATTAATCAGCGCGTTTGGTTTGTTGTCATGTCTGGGAAAACAAACAAAGAAGAAAAAAGAATCCCCGAACATGCAAATACATTACGCTACAGCCCACATGATTTATGAATTAATAATAAATAACAGTATGTATAATTTCACAGTACAACGTGAAGATTTATAGCTATAATTAAAAAGTCAGAAAAATCTTTTCATCATTAGCAATTCAGTGAATGGCAATAATTAATGCAGGGATATCCGACAATATCGTCAGATATTGGCATTAAAATGTAATACTGGAAAATATCAGATTTTACTCTTTTAATGACAACATTTACATTCCACAAACTCTTCTCCTGCTTCTCATCACACTCAAAATAACAGATCTGATGTGTAGCTTTAGAAGTATTGTCACATTTTTTCACAGATAATGTTTAAAATCTAAGTTTGCATCATAGAGCTGCCACCCACACAAAATAAAATTAGAGCAATTTCATTTTATAACAAGATAATTTAATTGTTCTAACTGTAATTTTCACATTTTACAATAGAAGTTTGACATTCTTACAATAAAACATCACGTTCTTAGAATATACACATGTATCACATTTGTACAATATTGTTACATTGTACTTTATGATAAAACTTTACAAATGTGATACATGTGCATATTGTTAGAACATGATAGTATATTATAAGAATGTACAAATTATTATGGTATAATATGATATCTCAAAATTTTTTTTACTTGGGTGGCAGTTCTACGCTTCCATCGATTTGTGATGTTAGTTATCTAAAACCAGACTTCCTAATTGTATGATACCTCATAGAAAGCTGTACTCTACTTGTTCTTTATGCGTTTTTTATTTATTTTTGATTTTTTCTCTTTTTTTATTCACTTAATTTGTATTTACTACTGTCATAGCATGTTAACTGCTCCGTTTGAATTTAGTGTTTGGGTTGCACATTGCCAAAATGCCATGTTTGTTTGTAAATGAACTAAAAAAGTTCTCATAAAAAATTGTTTTCTGAAACAATTTTTTCCCTTTTATTTTAATTGGGGGGTGGGGTGGGGGGGGGTAGACTATATTGGACCTCGGCAAAAAAGCCGATATTAAACATCTTTAATATCAACCAAGAGAAAATCAAAACATAAAAGGCATAATATAGATAAGGCACTTTTTCAACATGTGCAATAAAAAAATCGATACACAGAGTTTAACACTCCAGAAGTTTTAAATACAGGAGAAAAAATTATCTCTAATAACACTTATTCCCATTAAAACAAATTAATGTGTACGTTCAAAGTGAGCAGTGAGAACCCTAAACTTATTTAATCCCATCTATTTTGTAATAATTACTTCAGCATAATCCATTACACTTGTGTCATCAGTAACCCCCTCAAAAATAAACAATAATCAGACATCTCTGCCTTTAAAAATAAAAACTAATCAAACCACAATTATTGAAAGCTGACTGATTTTTATTTTTAATTTTTAAAATAGTTATAAGTTCTCATTTGAGTATGGAAACAACAACTAGTGAAGTGAATGCCTGAATTATTGCTACTGCGAGTTAAATATTAAAGGACTGAAGCAGACTATGACATTTTAAGATTGAATGAGCAGTCTGCTTTGCATTATATAGGTAAGGAGAGCAAGTGAGAGAAATTCTCTCCTCACTTATCTACCGCCGAGGTGTCCTTGAATCAGGAGCAACCCCCAGCTGCTCCAGTGGAGCTGCACAGTAGTCTGATACGAGGAAGAATGAGTGTAGGCAGCTCACTAGTGTGTGAATCTCTACATATGTGAAGCAGCTTGTATCTGAAAAAGAGCAAATAGGTTCAGGAAAAAAAAAATACAGCCAAAGCTTCATCTGAAGCAACATATGTTAATGCGTCCCGGACTCTTGGGGGAAATAAAAAGGTTGATACAAACATTGTTTATTGGAAACCGTGTGCAACATAAATCATGTTCTGGGAAAATGGAAACAATAACTCACCTTTCGCTTTGCTTTTTGTCCCAGCCACTGAGAGCATGTGAGGATGAAACAAGAAGAAAATAAGTCAAATAAGTTACCAAGGAGCTCCACTGATAGCGTAATGATTGTTTATTTTTAATAAATAAAACATTGTATTAAATCTCATCCGTGTAGCCTACTCTTGGCAAATTAAACTGTAATTTCATCCAAGCAACATGTTTTCAAATTATCAACAAAAAGCTGTTATATTTGGAGGAAATAGATCAACCTTAGGCCATGCTGTCAAGACAAACCCACTCCGAGAAATAATTGAAGCCACTTACACACATTATAAATCAGAGGTGATTTCACCTCCTGACACCTGCACTTTTATTTGTTGTGTACTTATCATTTCACCTGCTTATTTATGCTTGGTGGAAATTCATAAACATTAACAAATTGTTAATTGCATTTGAACAAATCAAGTTATTTCCAAGAAATTCTTGTCCTTGAAAGGCATACTTGTTACCGTGACGTAATGAAACAAGGCTGAATTTGTGTGAAAGATAAAATTACCTCCAGTCTCCTGAAGCTTAACAGAAAAGTGTTTTTTTCCATCAGCACAACGATTCAAAGCACACAACCAAAATCAGAAAGGAGCTTCTGCGAAGTAAAGCAAAAGTTGTGGAATCTTTTGGGTTTTGTAAAGAGAAAGTCAGAGCAACCCAACCCTTCCAACACAGAGGATAAAAAGTCTCTAAAGAATGGGAGAGAAACTTCGGATATTCATGCTTCACTGGTGTTCTTGATGGCTGTAAGGATTGAGGTTGTCAATAAAGAGAACTGAAGACAAAGTCTTGGGGAAAAAATCTGGTTCTGACTTCTTTTGCATTTAGTTTCTCCTTTATTTTTAACACATTTTTAATTGGACAATTCAACAAATTTCCAATAAGAATAAACTTGAATATGAGCGATTTTTCTGCTGTATTTACACAACTTTTAAACAATGTGTATTTACTGTTTGCTTAGAATCTAGACCGTCATTTGTCGAAGCAAAGTATTCACATATCTATGATGGCTTGACAGGCTAATTGTTTTTATTTCACTTCTTAAAACTGAGACCATCCATCCATCCATCCTCTGTACCCGCTTATCCACGCAGGGTGATGGGGAGGCTGGCAGTGTTTGGGCAAATATGCTGCGCCGCTTCTGGGGCGATCCCTAAAGATAGGATCAGGTTCTATTTTTTCTGCAAGCCGGCTCTGGAATTCGTCAATTATCTCAGTTAACATAGGGCTAGACAGGAAATCACACATGGTTTCAGTGTAATTTCCGCGGTATGAATCAAAATAAAAGTAATGCAACGATGCTATTTCACATATATGAAGCTTACTTGTGATCTTATTTACTCACAGCATCGTTCCAGAAGTGCAGCGGTGTATTTTAATGGCTGTATTTCTGGCAGTGGAGAAGAAAACCATCATATATGACATGAAATAGTGATGTAAAATGGAATTTCTTTCATTTTGGTTAAATAGAGGATTGTGTAAACAAACAGTAACCTTTGAAGTCTTGATCTCATGATCTTGCGAGGAGGTTGGTGGAAGTCTCGAGGGATTTTGTGAGCAAGAAGCACGGCAGAGAAGCCGGTTCGCTGCTGAGACTCTCCTAGTGTGCACTTGAGTGCAGTGATTGTCGCAAGTAAACCTTTCTGCTGCCGTTCTGCAGTCGCTTTTGCGACCAGTGTGTGGTGTAATGTCTCCATTTGTGACGTCACAAACAGGGACTTTTTCAAATGGCTTGTTTTAGGCACATAATTCCTAAACCAAACACTGACAGAAAACACATGGATGGGTTTCTGTCACGTTTGGAGTATATGGAGACAGTAGAAATCCATTTAACTGCACAAAAGGATACAAGAGGTGAGCTTTGCATAATATGTCCCCTTTAAGACATGAACATAAATCACAAAAGGCATTACAGCAAGAATCTGATTCATCCTCTCTACCGGGGTTTCAAAAAAAAAAGTCAAATGTTGACATGACGAACAGTAAGTTAAGCGTCCTCACACGACCTTGCTTTATGTTCCTACGCTGCATGCTGCAGGTACACTTTAAGCCATGGCACCGCTAAAAGGCTAAAGGGAACAACACTCATGTCAGAATCAAAAACACACATCGGAAATTTATTTTCTCAAATAATCAAATATTTCCACTCAATGCAGCTGCAGACAAAAATATCTGCTCAGAAAGGCAAATACTGTTTGCATCATTGCATTTGTGTTGCAGAGTTAGAACCACGTAAGCCAATCCTCCTCGCAGCCATTTATTTTAAAGATGTTTACAGTTCTATCCGTGACGTGTGCTCGAGCCTAAAAGCTCTTACAGACCAAACCGACGTCAAGAGCTAGCAGTGATGGCAGCCCCTCCTGCTGAGTCCCCCCTCATCGCCAGCATCTTGGGAAACATTTTTGCACTTTAACACATCTCAAAGACGACCTCCAACTGCCAACGCCGATGTGCAATCTAAGCCTGTGCATTCTGCTGTGCAGAGGGAAGCAGTCTATAAATAAATACATACCATTCATTAAGGTAACAAGCACGAAAACACACCGACTACATAAAGGATCCAGAGAAAATAAGCCTCTTTTGAATGCATTTGTCATCAAAAGACTATGACGTTAATCTTGTGGATTGTGTTACATATTTATGCTTATATTAAGCACCTAGGCTTAGAAAAAAGACTTATCGTTCATGTAATAAAGAGTGAATCAAAACATTATAGAATCAGCAAGCATGAACTGTTGAAAAACTTCTTTTCATCAATACCCTAGCCATCTGTAGTTTGATTCCTCTGCTACCTCGGTCTATATATCCACACACCTCTCATCCTTTTACTGGTTTGCACCACTGTGTAAATGCATCCTTTTCCACCACTCAACTGGAGTCATTCTCTGCAGGTTTTAATAATATTGTTCGCATTTCTGGAATTCAAAGCTGCCTCTTTATCCAAGAAAGATCATCAATGTTGTTCATGTTTGTTCATTAATCAGGGATGATAAATGCTGGAAAAACACCCCGAAAATAACACATTTGCAGTGAATACAAGCAGACACGACACTGTGCTTGTACACATGCACGTTTCACTTATTCTTACTGAGAAAAAAGGGGAAAAAACATGCAATTTGAACTTTCCTTTATTTTTTCAGGGTAAAAAGCCACTTTTGTGAATCTGTATTTTAGAATTGGACCAAATGCTCAGTAAAAATAGTAATCATATTGCTCATTATAGTAGCTGTAGCTAGGGGTGGGAAGGGAAGCGTTGTGGAAAAAAGGTACTATTTCTGCCTTTAAAATAGGTCAGTGGTAACCTGAAGTGTAGAAAAAGGACATAATGCTTATCTGTGAAATAGGTCATCTCTTGGTAATTTTTGAACAAACTCTTATCAGAAGAGGAAACTGGGAAAATCACAAAGTTGACGCCTGCCATGCTTCTATCTAATGGAAAATTCATTGTCTTTGACACTCATTAATCTTTCCTGCAACTCTTTCACTCTGTTTTTTTCCCTCTTCATGTGGAAGTTATTAATCTCCAACCCTCCACCAATTCAATAGTGTTGACAAAGTCAGACACCATGATAAGATTCGAATTGCTGTGAATAGGAAACGTTTGCAAGCACATGGCAAGCATATCAATACATGCTTTAACTGAGGTGTGTTGCACAGAGGGAAGTTTCTCCGAAAGCCAATAAAGGACAGAAATGTTGACATCTAGAGATTTTTATAATTAAATTTGTATGTATTAAATTGAATCATTTCAATGCATGTTATAAGACAATGATTTTAGTCTTAGTTGCATAATTTCACGTGCAGAGTAGTGGATTTGTTTAATTTTAATTTAAAGTGATGGTGTGTATTTCCCCTGGCAACAGGGACAGTACATACCTAAATTAATGCAAGCAAGCAGCAATTTTGTGTTTGAGTGAAGCCTAGTTTATGCTTCTGCGTCAGCTCCACAAAGGAGAGACACACATGTATGGATGGAGACGTTTTACTCAGAATTCTCCGTCTCCTGGGAAGTGTTGCGCAATTCCCCACCGGGACAACAGAGGGCTTAGTGCTTTTCTGGGGTATCCTGTCATGTATCCGATCCAAGGTAGTGCATTCACCATTCACTTTTAATTTTATATTGTGATTTTTGTATTTCAGATATTTTTTTTAACAAACAAATGTGTCCCTTATTTTTCTTCACATCGTCATGCACTCGCCACCTCTAAACCCACGTTTCCCGTCATTTCACGAATATTGTTTATTGTGCTATTTGGATCCCCATTAGCTTCCACAGCAGTGGTTGCTAATCTTCCTTGGGTCCATTTTCTTAATACAAAATATATTTAACAATACAAATGATTAAAATATTATAAATTATTACACTAGGACTTTAAAAGCTGTAGTGGCCAACCAATGCCATCGACAAGATCCCCCTTAACTTCTTCTCGTTCTATCACACCTGCAAGAACAAGACAATAACAGAAAATGCTTTTAATTCAATAGCCTTTTTTTTGTTGTTCTCCTTAAAAGAGCTCTGATTTTGGATTTCCCTAACACAACCTGGTAGTGTATTCCACTCAAAAGTCCCTCCATATAGAATGGTTTTCTTCCTAAAATTACTTCTAGGTCTTGGCACTATAACCATGTTCTTGCTTACCAAGCGTGTTACGTGCTCATGGCAATATCCACTAAGTAATATTTTGTCTTTCATATGATGATGAATATTATTAGTCATAACTTTTTGCATAAACATCAGAAGACTATATTTGACTTTTGCCTGCACAGTTAACCAAGACAACTTAAAATGCATCTGGTGCACATTAGTTTGAAGAGGACAGTTCAAAGCTACCCTGGCTGCTCTGTTCTGAGCTTTTTGCAGTTTTCTTAGATGTTTCTAACCAAACTACTTTACAGTACTGTAAATGAGATAAAACAAGACTTTGAACAACATTTTTCAATACAGTGGTAGAACAATACGCAGAGCACTTTCTTGACATAAAGATTCCTCGGCCCATCATA